TATATGGCCCCGGTTATGCACAGTATATATGTGACTGTACGAAATGAAAATGGAAAATAAAAACACATTTACAAAAAAAAAAAAAATTAAATAAAATTAAAAAATTTAAAAAAAGAGGACCAAGGACTCTATAATTAACCCCTCCTCCTCCACAAAGCACACTCCTTCCTAGTAACATTGATGTTACCTAATTGGGACATGAAACATCTGCAAGAAAAGCCACCAAGCTCAGATAGCACCAAGGACCCCTCATTTCAACTCTGAGCTATAAATATTCTCCTTTATTGGTAACATGTACTATATGTAATTGTGACCCCAAAATAACGGCATGTAATTGTTAAAACATTCCTGTCGATTGTCAAATCCACGTGATTTCTGGAGGTTATTAAAAGCATGTGACTTTATCCTTCCTCAGTGTTGGAGAAGAAGCGGAAAGCATGGAGTCATTCAGAAGCTTCCGACAGCTCCTCCAGCAGCACATCCACATCATCGGAGTCATCTTCCGACAGCGAATATGAAAACGAGCGAAGCAGGAGAAGGAAGAGGAAGAGGCGGAACAAAGCTAAGCAATCTAGGAAACGAAGACGGGAAGAGAGGAAGAAAGGGGAAACAAAAAACAAGCACAGGTCAGTCTACGGAGATTCCCTGATTGTTTAGGTCACAGTTGTCCCAAAGGTGCTTTCTCAAAAGGCAATTGGGCTTTGTTTTTCTTTGGAAATGTTTCGCTTCTCATCCAGGAAGCTTCTTCAGTTCTGACTGATGGTGGAGGATGGAAGGATTTATATTCCTCACAATCACCTGGTCAGCATTCTTTCTAAAGAGCCGTTGAGGCCACTTGGAGAATATCTGTGCCCCCAAGGTTACCTGAATAGTGTGGACCCTTATTGGAACTGCTGAAAGGACTCACTTGTAAATGGGAGATAGGTAGTGGCTGGTGAGAGAGGGCTGATCAATTTTTTGGGGCCCTGATGGGTTTATCCTCCTATGTTGTGCCATGTGTTTGTGGTGGTGGTTTTGTTTGCCCAATGTCCAGATCTGCACATCTCACTGCATTGTACTGCATATAATACCACACTGCTCAGTTTGTGCCTGGGTGCTTTATCCTTGGGATGGGCAAGCTTCTGCCTTAAGTGTATTTATTCCTGGGTGTAAATTTTGTGTGTATGGGAGTTTAATGGATACATTAAAAGTGTATATGTATACAGGTCAGGCCTAGAAAAGTCTTGAATAATGACATCAAAACCTAAGACCTTTTTTAAAAAGGCTTTAAAAAATAAGCCTTTTAGAGCCCAGCAGTCTCCAACTCTGCATCTGTCATGTCAAAATGAAACACCTCGAATTCCTAGTGAGCATAGAGTTGTGGATTCTAAAACTGCATTTAAAGACAATGGATATGTACAGGTAATCCTCAACTTACGACTGTAACTGAGCTGGGAATTATGGTTCTAAGTCATAGTAATTCTTACGTGGCTCATCAAGTGACTGGGTGGGTTTACAGCCATTTTTGCAGCAGTTGTTAACTATATCGGTTGTTCAGCAAAACAATGTGGCCGTTAAACAAATACTGCAGTAGTTAATCAATTCAATTAGAGTGCTTTTTGGTGGAAACTAGAAGTATAGGTAGTCCTTGACTTATGACCACAATTGAGCCCCCAAATTTTGTTACTATGCGAAGCAGTTGTTTAGTGAAGTTTACTCCATTTTACACCTTTCTTGTCATACTTGTTAAATGAATCACTGCAGTTAAGTATTCGGTTGTTAAATGAATCCGGCTTCCCTATTGACTTTGCTTGTGGTACTGTCAAAAGGGGATCACACATGATCCTGGGACACAGCAGAAGTCGTAAATATGAGCTAGTTGCCCAGCATCCGAATTTTGATCAAGTGACCGTGCAACCATATTAAGTGTGGAAAGGGTCATAAGCCACTTTTTCCAGTGCCATTGTAACTTTGAACAGTCACTAAATGAATGGTTGTAAGTTGAGGACTACCTGTAAATGCTAGACATTCACAAAAAAATCCCCAAAGTCATGGCCAGGCAACTGGGACATTGCAAATGGTTGTAAAAGGGAACCAGGTGCCAAGAGCCCCAAATTTGATCACATGACTGTGGGGGAGGGGAGTGCAGCTGTTTTAACTTTGGAAACCACTGTGAGTACCTTTTGTGGGTGGGGGGGTGTCCATCCTCATTAAGCAACTGGCCATTAAGTGAGAAATGCCTATGTTTTTATGGATGTTTTTAGAATTCGTAAAATTCTACTCAGAGGAATCAGTGAGGAATTTAAACTAACGGCTGAGAGAGCCGCTTTAATTATTGAAAAGGAAGTGAATTAGATGGACTTTTAACAACGCAAGATGTGACTTGGTTACTTACATTTATATCAAACCTGGAGAAGGCCATAATAGTTTAATTTAGGCATTTAACCAGGAGATATGCTTATTACCTGCTGATCATTTTGCTTGGCTTTTCAAACAGGTATGAAACAGCCCCAGTGGCCGTAAATCACTCTCTTTCCTCCAGCCACTCGGACCAAAGCGAAACAAACGAAAAATCAGCAGACCCGAATGTGAAAAGGGGTAAACCTGTCGTCCGTCCGGAAGAAATTCCTCCTGTGCCGGAAAACAGATTTCTGCTTAGAAGAGATGCGCCCATAATAAATGCAGAGCCAGATTTGTATGCATTGCACTTATTTTTAATTCTTTGTGTCTTGATCTGAACCTAAGCGGATTTGAATGAAATGTACCTATTTATACAGGTAGTCCTCTGAGTTACAAATGTAACAAAGGTTGCCAATTACATTTGTAACCTGAGGATTTGTTGAAGTGAACGTGAATACTTCCGGCTTTTACCCACGCATTTGCTAATCGAATTAAGTGCACATGAGGTGTCTCAGGGTGAGGAAGATTATGGGGGGAGCAGCTAGCGATGGGACAGGCCACCTGCTTCAGACCACCCAAGACCGTTTGCAAAGCCTTTTACCATGGATCTGATACAGGCCTCAGGTCACAGAGAACACAGGCCTGCCTAAAGTACTGTACTGTTAGTGTGAAATCAGTAGCCCAAGATCTCATGCTACTTATCTCGCATGATCTTGCACTACTTTAGGTCTCTGTTCTCTGCGAATGCACCGAAGCAGGCAAAGGAACCGACGGCTCACTAGATTGTCTCAAGTAAGTCAGTCTCCCCAGGCCCAGTGCCTGTGGAGACCTGGCCCATGGGGAGGATGGCAGGACAAATGTGTTGTAAATACTTGGGGGAGATATGTCATAACTTTGAAAGTTCACAAAGTGAACTATCATAACCCAAGGATTACCTGTATTTCAGATATTAACCAAAAAGATTATATACCATATTTTTTCGGAGTATAAGACACAACTGTTTTCCTCAAAAAAGAGACTGAAAATCTGGGTGCGTCTTATACACCAAATGCAGCATTTTTGGCCTCCCAAAGCCCAGCCTCTTCACCAAAATGGCCGTGCATACCCTTATGGAGGCTTTCAGAGAGCTCCTAGGGGCTGGGGAGGGCAGAAATGAGCAAAAAACAGGCCATTTTTTGCCCGCCCCCAGCAGCACTCCATAAGCCTCCATAAGGCTATGCATACAATATTTTTGACAAAAACTGGGGCGGTTTTCATGAAAAATGGGCCGGTTTTTGCCCTCCCCAACTCCCCAAGAGCACTCTGCAAATCCCCCCCAATGCTATTTATGCCTTTTGAGGGGGGAAACAGGCTCGTTTTCGTGAAAAACAGGCCGTTTTGGGAGGTTTGCAGAGTGCAAAAACTTTTTTTTCTCCCTTTTGGAAAGCTTTTTAACTGATTGATGAGAATTACGTTGATCAAGTGCTGTTCCAGCAGAAACACCTACCTATCTACTGTATTTCCCTCTCTCTATTTCTCTATCTTTATCCCTCTACCTATCTACCCACTCGCGCGCGCTCTCTCCCTACCTACCTATTGTATTTCTCTCTCTTTCTCTCCCTCTCTATCCCTCTACCTACCTACCTACTTTTTAAAAAAATTGCCTCCTCCTTCCCTCCCCCCTCTCTCCTTACCTACTCTCTCTCTCTCCCTACCTATCTACTGTATTTCTCTCTCTATTTCTTTCTATTTCTCTCTCTCTATCCCTCTACCTACCTATCTACAGTCACTCTCTCTCTTCCTACTTACCTACTGTATTTCTCTATCTCTCTGTCTCTCTTTATTTCTCTCTCTCTATCCCTTTATCTACCTACCTACCTAACTATCTCTCTCTCTCTCCCTACCTACCTACTGTATTTCTCTCTCTTTCTCTCCCTCTCTATCCCTCTATCTACCTACCTACTTTTTTAAAATTTACCTCTTCAAAACCTTTGTGCGTGTTATACTCCGAAAAATACTGTATTTTAGGAGCAGAAATATTTCTTACTGGGAGGGAAGTTGTATCTACCTATGCCTCTTAGCTTTAGTACAGATACTGCTCAACCTACAATCACATTTGAACCCAAAATTTCTGTTACTAAGCAAAGCAGTTGTTAAGTGAATTTTGCCCTATATTATGACCTCCTTTTTTTTAATTGAATCACCACAGCTGTTAAGTTAGTAACACAGTTGTTATGTGAATTAAGCTTCCCCATTAACTTTGCTTGTCAAAAAGACCCAAAAGGGATCATATGACCCCAGGATATTGCAACCGCCATAAATACATGACTGTTGCCAAGCATCCAAATTTTGATCACATGACCATGGGAATGCTGCAGTGGTCGTAGGTGTGAAAAATAGACATGTCACTTTTCAATGCCTTTGTAACTTTGAACGGTCACTAAATGAATGGTTGAAAGTGGAGGACTACTGCAGTAGTTTCCACTAAATCAGTGAAGACAAGGCCATCTTTTATTTCCAGCTCTGTTTGAACAATGGCCTGTTTGACATTTTATAAACTCTAATGCTCTCAAGAACTGACTGTGGTTGAAATATATAAAACAATGAGAAAGAAATGTCGTAGTTTCTTCTCAGTTCCTGGAGATTAATTCTCTCACAATATCAGTTATTGTGGGAACCGTGGAGTTCTCTGAACTTGGTGGTCTTTTCGCAGTCGTTTTGTGACCCGACTAGATAACATCATCAGTGCTAGATGGGAGTGGGATTTGAATATCTAGCATTAATGGCATTACCTAGTTGGGTCATGAAATGTCTGCCAAAAAAAGAAACTCTGAGAGATAACCAAGGACCTCATAGTCGTCATGTTACACTGCTGTTGCAAAAGCTATGTTGGTGTAAAGCCGTTTATAGCATTGGGTCCAGGTTATCCCAGAAATTGTCTCACTCTGATGGAATTGGCCCACCTGATTTGTTCTAGCAAGAAGGGATGTGCTGTGTGTGTGAGAGAGAAACAGACAGACAGATAAATAGATGACAGAATGGGAAGATAGAATAGATGGATGGATAGGATAGGATATATAGATGATAGATAATAGGCAGATAGATGCCCTGTTTCCCTGAAAATAAGACCTCCCCTGATAATAAGCCCAATTGGGCTTTTGAATACATTCGCTAAAATAAGCCCTTCCCAAAAATATTGCAACACAGCAGCAGGCATGAGGTGACCACGCTCGCCGCCTCCAGCACCTCAAAAATAATAAGACCTCCCCGAAAATAAGGCCAAGCATTTATTTTGGGGGTCAAAAGAAAATAAGACCCTGTCTTATTTTCAGGGAAACACAGATAGATGATAGATAGATAGATAGATAGATAGATAGATAGATAGATAGATAGATAGATAGATAGATAGATAGATTAGATTAGATAGATTGATTGATTGATTGATAGATTGATCGATTGATTGATTTTAACATTTAATGGTTTATCTTGTCTTTATTCAGTTATGTGCCACATGGAATCATCTCCTGGTGAGATGAATAGTGTCCAAAATAAATAAATAAATAAATAAAAGGTTGCCTGCAGAAGAGTCCCATGTGGGACTGGGCTAACAACAAAGATAAGCAGTTAGTTGCATGACTGTTGACCACACTTGCTTATTTTGGGCCATATTTTGATTACAAGGAACTAGCTCATAACTCCCCAGCTCATTTTTCCTAATACTTATTTTCTTCTGAATACTTAAGGAATATTGACCCAGGAGCCGTTTCCAGTGACCAGAAGCCTTCGGTGTCAAAATCTGGAAGAAAAATCAGAGGGAGAGGCACAATAGTATGTTATTGTTGTTGTTTTAAAAAAAATCAAATTTACATTTTGAGAATTTCATTTTGAAACGCACTAAAAGGTTGCCCTTGCTTGATTGCCTTCTGGTGCTTTGGAGAATAGTTTGACTCCTCCTTGTTTACTGCAGCCCCTCAAATACTGGGCACACCTGCCCACACCAATTCAATCCTCTCCACCCACCTGTGAATGTGTGTGCGACCTCGCCCCCTGCGCATCCGCACATGACCCCTCCCCAGGTTCTGGAAGCTTTCCTGAAGCCTGGGAAGGGTGAAAACTGCTTCCCACAGCCCCCTGGAGGCCTTCCGGAAGCTGGAAACGGATTGTTTCTGAATTTATGGTTGGCCCGTTGGGGCCGTTTTTGCCCTTCCCAGGCATCAGGAAAGCCTCCAGAGGCTGGGGAGGACAAAAAATGGCCCCAGTGGGCCAACTGGAAGTTTGGAAACGATCCACTTCCAGAGGGCCTAAGAAGGGGCTTGGGGAGGCCATTTTCACCTTCTCCGGGCTTCAGGAAAGCCTCCGGATGCTGGAGAGGGTTAAAAACAGGCCTAACAGGCCAACCGGAAATTCATTCCCGAACTTTCGGTTGCTTGTTGGGGCTGCTTTTTGTCCTCTCCAGCCTCCAGAGGCTTTCCTGAAGCTTGGGGACGGTGAAAACTGCCTCTCCCAGCCCCCCGGAAGGCTGAAAATCAGGGTGTGCCGGAGCAGATGGCTGGTGTGCCATCAAATATGGCTCCGTGTGGCACCTGTGGCATATATGCCATAGGTTCGCCATGACGGCCCTAATCCTTCTTTTCATTAACAAGACATGCCCACAATTCCTGCAACCGTTCGTGATAAGTTTTAGCCTCCAGATCTCTAATTATCTTTGCCGCACTCCTTTGTACTCTTTTTTGAGTTGTAGCAATCAAAATGATTCAATATTCCAAGTATGGTCTTGCCTTATAAAACGGTATTAACACTTCATGTAATCTTGATTCTATTCTGTTAATGCAGCCTAGGATTGCGTTGGATTTTTTTTTTTTTTGGCTGCACTCTGCTGGCTCATGTTGAAGTGATTGTCCACTAGGCTCCACAGTTAGTGCTATCGAGTTAGGTTTCACCTAGTCTGTAGACTTGATGAGACTTGTTATCCTATTGCATTTTGCCCCCCCCTAGAGATACCATACTCCGCCTCACTCTCGCTCGTGCACAGAATCGGATGACAATGGAAGTAGCGAAACACCGCCCCACTGGAAAGAGGAAATGCAGAGATGGAGAGCTTATAGGGCCCCCAGTGGAGAAAAGTGGAGTAAAGGAGATAAGTAAGACAATTTCGTCTTCCTGAAATGTCATGTTTTGGGAGAACAATGTGTTTTAGATGTGAGAGTTTGGAAAGGAAAACACGTTTGCAAATTTTTTGGCTGGTGCAAGACAATAATCCTAGGACTAATTTGTAAAGCAGAGTTAAAAGTAAAGGGACGTCTGACTCTCCATTTCTTAACTGAGGGAGCCAGTGTATCCTGAAGGTATTTCTGAGTTCATGTGGCCAGCACGATTATAGGCCAAGATGGAAAGAACATTGTTAGCTTCCAACCAAAGCGGTACCTATTTATCTACTCGCATTTCCATGCTTTTGGACTGCTACGTGCACAGGAGCCTGGGGCAAGCAAAGGTTGGGAGGCCAGCCTGTCATATGGCACTTGGGTCTAGAACCTGGGCTGTCACCTTTCCAGCTGGCGAGTTTCAGCATCTTTAACTGCTGAGCTATGGCGCTCCATAAAGCAGAGTTACTAATTGTGCAGGCCTAAACCTACTCAAATACAACACTGGTGCCCTGGGACGCCAGCGGAGTCGCTTCTGGATTATTGCAGGTGCAGACGCATGCAAAAAAAAATTCCTCTGAAAGTTCATCCATATATGCCACTTCAAGAATAAATCAGTGATTGAAAAAAGACAACAGACTTATTTTTGAGCATTGCTCATATCATTTTGTGTGGGTTTAGCTCATCTGACTGGCACATAGAATTGGGTTTGAGCCCAGTTTAAATCGGTAAGTTGGAGGCTGTGTGAGCAGTGCTGATTATTTCACTAGTGATCTTCCTAAGGGCAGAGAACCCTGGCTGAAAGCATGTAAACAGTCCTTGTTTACTACCCAGATATAGGCCTGTGGACTCCTTGATGCCCTCTGAGTTTGGTTGGGTTTTTTTGCAGATATTTCCTGATTCGACAAAGTAACATCATCAGTGCTAGAAGGGAGTGGACTTGCAGAGAAGAGGAGAAAGACTGGGGTCCTTGGTGCTCTTTGAACTTGGCTATTTTCTTGCAGGTGTTTTGTTACCCAACTAGGTAATATCATCAGTACTGGAAGCTCAAACCTCACTCCCTTCCAGTACTGATAATGTTACCTAGCTGGGTAACAAAACACCTGCAAGAAAATAGCCAAGTTCAAAGAGCACCTAGGTGTCCAGTCACCATTGTCCTCCTCCTCTTCCTCCCTGCAAACCCCAGGCCTTTCTAGTATTGATGATGTTACATAGTTCGGTCATGAAGCACCTGAAGAAAAGAAGCAAAGCCCAGAGAGCACCAAGGATCCCACATTAATTTTCCTCTTCCTCACTCCATTCTCCAAACCCCACTCCTTTTGTATCACTGACAATGTTACTTAGTTGGGTCGTGAAATGTCTGCAAGAAAACAACCAAGCTCAGAGAGTCCCAAGGACCCAACAATTCAACTCTGAACTATAGAGTATAATGTGGTACTCTATGGTATACTGTGACTGCTGGTTCTCCTTCTCTAGGAAGAGGCAACCAACGAACTGTTGGTTTCTGTTTCTTCTGCTTCATCCAAGTTACTCATTCAGGCTTTCTTTCAGGTGCTGCTTAGAGCCCTTGCAGAATTTAATCCCCAAGGGGAGCTAAGCACCATAGTTAAAAGAGGCCGCTCTTTGGATTGCTTTGCTTGAATCTGCAACGTAGATTGCCAAAATAATATCCTCAGTATCCCTGAATTCTATTGCCAAATGTTACAGCTGCAAGTCCTCTACTACAGGTTGCCTGTACAATTTAACCATAAAGCAGACGGATGGGCTTTTCCAGAACCCATTGGTGCTCCTTCCCATCGGCTCTGTCAGGAGGGAGATTTCATGGGATTTGCAGAGACTTTTCTCCTGGCTAATCAAGAGCAATAGAAAATCTTAATCACTTCTCCGGACTCATACTGGGTCTGACAGTCCCAGTCATTTCAAATGGCCAGGCCATGCTCATCAATTTTATGCTCATTTTTAAAAAAGAATGCTAAGTTTAAGTTTACTTTATTGTCATTGCAGCTCGTTCAACGAAGTTAAAGTCCATCTTCAGTGTACAATATAACTATAAAAATAAAACACAAACACATACTTCACATTTTATACAATTGAATTGAAAACCCCTGATATTGCATTAGCATTGCATTATACGGTAGAATTCAATATAGTCACTGTTCTGGGATAGAAGCTGTTTTTCAGCCTGTTTGCCCTTTTTTTTATTCTTCCGTACCGTCTGCCAGATGGTAATAGTTGGGGGGGGGGGGGAAGGGTGCCCAGGATGAGATGAATCTTTAAGAATGTTTTGAACATTCAGCGGGAGCCATAAAGCTCTCCCAAAGAGGGGAGAGGGCAACCGATGATCCTCTGGGCAATGACATTGACCCTCTGGAGTCCTATCTGCCGTTGTGCAATTGGCAAACCATACAGAGGGGCAGTAAGTTAAAATACTCTCTATGGTGCAGCGGTAGATGATCACCAGCAGTTTTTCATTCAGTTGTTGTTTCCTGAGAAGTCTCAGGTAGTATCATCTCTGCTGGGCCCTTTTGACCAGGGCTGCAATGGGAGGGCCCCAATACTAAACCCAAACTCGCACATCAGGTGGCTAAAATATCTTCACATGGTTCTACAACTGTGCCAAACTTTTAATTAGATACGTTGATTTCCTGTTAACTCCCCCACCCTCGGGCCTTCCTCCATGTGTCAAAAACTATTTTAGCGTATCCTTTTTATTTTTCCAAAAGCTGATCAAAGACCAAAACAAAGATACTTTGATTCCCTCCCCCCCCCCCTTTTAGGCTGAGCGACCCAGGACGGTGGGATGAAAGAAGTCTGTCCCCTCGTTCTCGTTCCTGGTCCCACAATGGCTTTTCAGACCTCAGCACTGCTCCACATGCCAGCCACCGTAAAAAACATCGGAAAGAGAAAAAAGCCAAGCACAAGAAGAAGGCCAAAAAGCAGAAACACTTAAAGAAGCACAAGCAAACGAAAAAGAAACGGTCTCCATCCACCGAGGTAGAATCTTCCCCTTCTTCTACCAGGAGGGCAAAGTCATTGTGTGACCGGGAAAGAGCGTCGCGTTCTTCCTCCCTGACCTCTAAAGACGATTCTTCTAGAAGAGGCTGGTCCAAATCCGAGCGAGACAAGCAGAACTCGGCCTCTTTCTCCAGCAGAGATTCTCGCTCGTATCGGTCCCGATCTCGGTCCAGGTCTTATTCCCGAAGTTCTCGATCAAGAAACACTCACATGTCCTCACATTCAAGGAGCAGGTCAAGATCCAGTTCCGCCTCGAAGCCGGTGAAAACGGTCCCCAACTCTCCCAAAAATACGGCGGCTTGTTTGAAGGAGTGTAAGCTGGTCTCCATTGAACCAGCACGGACAGCGTTACCCCAAAATGATAAAGTCGCTATTCAGCCTGTGGTTGCCGAAAGCCTCCCAGTTATCCCACTGAGCGATAGTCCTCCGCCTTCCAGGTGGAAACCAGGGCAAAAACCATGGAAACCATCTTACGAGCGTCTTCAGGAAATGAAAGCCAAGACTACTCACCTGCCACCTGCCCAGGCGAATTACAGCTTAATCGGCATGCAAGATCCCGGATCCTCCTCTTCCTATCCTAAGCAGCAAAAGAGCTCGGAGAGCGATCGGAGCCGTTACTCCAAAATCCAGAGCAACAGAAGCTCAGGCAGCTGGTGGAAATCTAGAAGCAGAATTTCCCGAAGTCGGTCCTCCTCCAGGTCAAGAAGCCCGTCCAGTTTGAGATCCCGATCCACCATGAGATCTCGCTCAGGGAATCCGTTCCCCAGCGAACAGTCGTGCTACAGTGGGTCCTCTTCTTACTTTTCCCTCAGCGATGATGACCAACAGAAAACCCGGACAAAGTTGGGATCCCGCACCAGGAATTCCGAGCTGTCCAAGAAAAGGCAAAGCAGTTCGGAAAGCACTCTCCCCTATGTGAAAGGTGTGAACTCTAAGCCTAGAAGTGCAAGCAGATCCTCCATCGATTCCTCGACTGAAAGTGAAAAATTGACGCCATCCCAGGCCGTAGAAGAAAAAGGACAATTAAGGTCTGAAAAAGCGACCCGGAAGCAAAACAAAAGGAATTCAGCTTGTAATCAGCGTGAAGAGAAATCTCGGCCTGGGCAGGACAGCAACCGCTCCAAGCCAAAGGTTTCAAAAGACAAATGTGAGACTCTTAGAAGTGGCCACAAAGCCAAAACGAGAAACTACACCAGCGATGAGTGCTGCTCCGAAACAATTTCCTCAACAGAAGCAACACAAAACGACAAAGAAAACTCAAGACTCTTGTCTGCAAAAGAGGAAGGCGAGGCCTCATCGGACTCTGATACGGATCCCTCCCCACCCGCCAAACGCAAGTGCAAATCTGCCCCTGCCCCAGATACGTCAAAAGGGAACAAACATCCTTCTTCCTCTTCAGAAACCGAGACCTCCGATTCTGATACAGACTCCCTGGACAAATCCTGGAAGCCGAAGCGAAGCTCCAAAAAATCTTTCCGAAAAGTCCACGCCAAAAAGGCGAAAGAAAAATCCAAAAGTAAAAAGGAGAAGAAACACAAAGCTGAAAAACGAAAGGAGACATTTCATTGGCAGCCTCCTTTAGAATTTGGAGAAGAGGAAGAGGAGGAGGAGGAGGGCGGGGAGGAAGTCAGAAAATCTGGAATAAAAGAGGTGCAAGAGAAACATGCCAAAAAGCAAGCCAAAGACAAAAATAAAGATCCGGATTCCAAAAGTGATAAAACGATGAAAGAACATTCGAAGGATGATCGCATGTCCCACAAAGAGCCCGTCCTCTCAAAGAGAGGAGCAGATCAGGCTGCATCCACCAGCCAACTGAATAAACGCAGTGAGGAAAGAGCTGTTTCTTCAACTCACCTTCCATATCCAGCTAAAAACACCGTCGTTTCCAAGAGTCCCACTGCAGCTCAGAAGGATAATGGAAACGAGCAGGCTGCCAGAGTGATAGACGATATGGAGATTTGTACCCCGGACCGTGATTCGTCTGTAAAATTGGATCTGCAACTTTCTCCAGTAAGCCTAAAGTTAAATTTCCAAGAGGTTAAAGCCGGCACAAGCTCCCAGGCGTCAATTAGCACCGTAGCCCAGAGTGTAAGTCAAGCCGTTGATCCTAAACGACTGGCCGGCCTCCCAGAAGGTAGACAGGAGCGAGACAGGGAAAGACCTAAAGCTGCCACCAGCGTTGAAACTGCGCTGAGAGGGGACGTTTCCGAAAACGCATCAAGCAGTCTTGGGGACAACAAGTGGAAACCGTTACAGGGCGCTGGGAATCTGCAGCTCGCAGGGCCCTCCAGCAATTCCTTTGAAATGAAAAACGTGGCTTCCGGCTCCTCCGATCCCAAACCGCCAGGTTTAAGGATCGAGATTAAAAGTAAAAACAAGATTAGGCCAGGCTCCCTGTTTGATGAAGTCAGAAAGACGGCGCGCCTGAATCGGAGACCCCGGAACCACGAGAGCTCGAGTGAAGAAGATACTCTGACACGAGAGGACAGTGAGTCCAGAAGTCGGAGTCGCTCGCGCAGCAAATCGGATGTTAAATCCAGACACCGGACAAGATCGCTGTCTTACAGTCACTCACGAAGCCCGTCGAGGAGCTCCAAATACTCATATAGGTGAGTTCGTTCATTCATGTAATTCCTGCCTTGATTGTTTTTATAAATAACTCAAGACAACGAACATAGCTAGCACAGTTTCCTCCTCCAATTTTCTCCACAACAACATCCCTGTGAGGTGTGTGTTTGCCTGAGAGAATGTGGCAGGCCTAAGGCAACTTAATAGAACTAGAACTCACCATCTCCTGGTGATTGGGCCAAAATCTCCCACATGGCTTTCATGCCTAAGACAAGACTCGAATTCACTGTCTCTTGGTGATTAGCCCATGGCCACCCAGCCAGTTTTGTGTCTTAAAGTGGGACTAGAACTTGGGACTTGGTGATTGGCCCAAAGTTACCCATCTGGCTTTCATAACTAAAGCGAGCTGCAACTCATCATTTCCCAGTAACTGGCTCAAAATCTTCCAGACAGCTTTGGTGCCTAAGTCAGGACTAGAACCCACGCTCTCTTGATGCTTGGCTTAAAGTCACCTAGTTGGCTTTCATGGCTAAGGCAGGACTGGAATTCACAGTCTGTTATAATGTATTTGTAAAGGTGGGGTGTCTTTTTTCAGATACATCCCCCCCCCCCATTTCTTTTAAATACACAGATCCCGGAGTTATTCGAGAAGCCCAAGCAGAGGGTGGCATAGTGACTGTTGCTCAAGAAGTCGAAGCAGCTCTTACGACAGTTGCAGAAGTTATAGGTAAGTTTGCCTTTCAAAGGAAAAGGATGGGAGAAATTTATAGGAGCCATGATGACCAAAGTGGTTGGATTGCAGTATTGCAGGCAAATTCTGCCCACAGTTAGGAGTTCTGACTCCCTGACTGGTTCAAGGTTGATTCAGATTTCTGAGGTCGGTAAAATGAGGATCCAGTTTGTTTGCGGGCAAGATACTGACATTTGTAAACTACTTAGAGAGGGCTTTAAAGAACTATAAAGCAGTATATATGTCAAGGTGATAATTTAAGAGCTGACCAGCTGATGCAATGAGAGGAATGAGTTATCAGGGTCTTTGGCTGTTATCCCTTTAAGATCCTGTGTAATAGTTCGTTGGGTTTCTTCCTTGCTGTAATTGCTGTTTGTTTAGATGCTGCTTGTAGCATGTGTATGTATAGTATTCCTACTATATATTCCTATTGTAGATAAAAGCCATTATTTGATACAAACCACTGTTGACTGTACTTGCTCCTGGACTGAAACACGCTCTGACAATATAAAATCTAAGTGCTATTGTTAAGTGCTGTTATTGGGAAGTTTAGAAAGGAGCACTGAACGACGCTGTAGTGAAATGCTTGTGTTTTGTGGACAGCGTGTGTGCAGTCATCAGGGGTTGAGGTGAACTGGGAAAGAATCGTTTAAGATTAGAGTGGGAATTTTTTTAAAAAAGAGGAAAATATAGCAGTGGCAAACAACTTCCAAATTACAGGTAGCCCATGACTTATAACTACAGTGGAGCCGGCCCATCACAGTTGTAAGTTACGCATGGCCGTAAGTATTGACAGTCCTAAAATCCATGTGACCGGCCCGATTTTTATGATCATTTTGGTGGTGGTTGTTAAGCAAAAGCCGCAGTCATAAAGTGAACAAAACATAGTTGTTCAATAAACCAATAATTCGTTATGGGCTGCTTTTGTCAAAAACCGGAAGTAAGTGCCACTTTTTGGCAAAAAAACCCAAAAACCTATTGTAAATTGTAGTCACATGACCGCTGAGCGTTGCAGGCCAGTTGCCACGTGATCGTGTGGGGTAGTACATTGGAACTTCAGAAAGAGGTCATAAGCATCCTCAGGGAGGCCCGACATAACTTCGAATGGTCTGTAAGCAACCAGTCATAGTGGATTGTATTGTAACCTGTATTGGCCCCATACCTTCACAACTGTGTTCCCTAAAGCTCAGCTCACCTTGAAAGAGATACGTTTTTACCTGCAGCCTAGCTAACCTGCAGAGCCCCTCTCTCTATTTTAGGGACCAGTTTCCTGTCAGCAAGGGAAGAGTTTGAATTCTCGGACTTAAATACCTATATTTAAACGCTAGGAAAGTTGTCCATGCAAATAATTTTTAAATAATTTATGCCAACCTTCCTCCCTCCACACACCCCCTTGTTTTAATAGTCACACTTACAGTCGAAGCCTATCCAGAAGCAATTCTTACCCTCGCCGGAGTCGATCAAGGTATGTAAGACACATGAGGTCATTTTCATAAAACATCTTTGTGAAACAATCTGTAAAACGGGTACTCTGACCATTGCCTTATTAACAATTACAGGTAGTCTTTGACTTAACGACCACAATTGAGTCCAAAATTTCTTATTGCTAAGCGAGACGGTTGTGGAGTGAGTTTTGGCCAATTTTACTACGTTCCTTTCCATTGCAGTTGTTAAATGAATCACTGCAGTTGTTAAGCAAGGAACACAATTCTTAAGTAAATCTGACTTCCCCCTTGACTTTTCTTGTCAGAATTCTGCAAAAGGGACAGTGCAGCTGTAGTATAACCATGCCAGTTGCCAAGCGTCCAAATTTTGATCTCATGACCATGGGAATGCTGCAACTGTCATGTCACTTTTTTTTCAGTGCTGACATTCAAATGGTTGTAAATCAAGGACTATGTTGAAGGATTTTTTTTTTCTTTCAGGCATGCATGGAAAAATGGAGGAAAAATAAAATTCTGCTTTAACAGATAATGGAGAGAGGGTATATTTATGCAAAGTCTAACATGCTTCCGAATCACATTTGAAGCTTGCACAAGCCCTCCCTTTACATTCCTTCCTAATTTTAATACCCTAGGAATAATACACAAATATCTAGGAATAATACACTAGGATTCAGGTGTACAAGTAATCCTTGACTTACAACAATTCACCTAGTGACCATTCAAAGTTAAAAATGACTTATGTCTGGTTGTCCCACTGCTGTCTATAGTCTTTATCTTGATCCACCAGATTTGTTCACATAAAGGCTTAAAGAGCCTTTGCTCTTGCCGGATTCTCTATTCCTCTTCCTGCCGGTGAGCTGTGTAGCCTTCCAGCTCAACAGCTGCATCCAGAAGGAGTGAATGAAGCCAAGTTTCTGTAATTAGCAAAACACAGCAGTTCTTGATGCATTTAGTCTTTGCAATATGTAGCCTTAATTCATCCATTTTATTAGTAAGAGATCTTGCACAAAAGCAGTTGGTACTTTCACACAATTCTTGTTTTAATTAGGAACAGTGGAAGTCACTGTAAATCAAATAATCTGTTGCTTCTGGTTCCTTCACAAAAGCAGATCCTACACCTATGACAGTTACTATAGCCGGAGTCGCAGCCGAAGCAGAAGAAGTGACAGTTACCACCGGTCTCGTAGCTACGACCGACGTTCCAGGTAAATTTTTCCTAGTAGCTTGACTGTCATTGGAAAGGCTGGCAGACATTGCACACAAACACCAGTGTTTGTTAAACGCTTTTGCTCGCGGGATCTCTGCTTTCTTTTAATGGAGGTCCCCAAAGGAGCTTTAACTTATCAGGTTAAAAATTAACATTTTTAAATTTTGTACCTCGCCTTTATTATTTTACAAATAACTCAAGGCAGTGAACGTATCCAACATGCCTTCCTCCCTGACACTGAGTCGCACTGTCAGCCAGATGTTTAAACTGGAACTGGCATTTTTGTCAACCGTCACAAGATTGTAAGCTGTGCCCAAGACAAGCTGCCTTTTGCAATTGACTGGTGGTGATTTTATCAATGCCAATGGGGCTCAAGGGATGCTCCGGTAATTATTATGTTAGGTCGCACAGGCATACCACCTCTCGAGTCCTTTTCAAGGACATACAGCAGGTTGTTGTTTGACGGTGTTAAAGATCTCGTCAAAGGATGTCAGCTGTTCCAACTAAAACTATTTTGAAATTGATTGATGGGGGTTGTGTCAATGCCGATGGGGGTTGAAGGGATGCTCCAGTTGTTTTGGGGTTGCAGCCAAGGAGCCTATCCTATTAGGACTATCTTTGCTTTCCTTTGCTATAGTCGTTCTACTTCTATTTGCTGTGTTAAGTGGTAATTGCCTGTCTATTTGAATTTGAAAATCACCAAACACTTTAGCTTTTTTGTTTTCTGTCACTCTGTATATTATGATGAACCACACAATCAGCCAGATGTTCAGGCTGGATTTGGCATTTTTGTCTACCTCTGGAGTCTTTCCCTCGGGACCTGGAATAGGCAGATGTGGCTGTTTGACGGGGTTAAAAGTCTCTTTGTAGGATGTCAGCTCTTCCAAGTCAAGCTGCCTTCTGCAATTGACTGGTGGGGATTTTGTCAATGCCGATGGGGTTCAAGGAACAACTAGCAACAAAATGAAAGCAAAGAAATGGAACATCACTATCTCAGACAGAAGTCTTGGGTACAAATCCTGAAAATTTGCTAGCCGAAGGAGGGATAATTGCACAGCCTTGTTTCATGACGCGATTGTACCAGCCTAACAAACCGTATTTGAGGAGGGGGTTCTGAAGAGACAAATGATAGAAGACACCCTCGAAAAATTTCCTTAGTTTTTATCTTTGGGTTGTAGAAAAGTCTCTACAGATAGTCCTTGATTTACGACCACAATTGAGCCCAACATTTCTATTCTTAAGTGAAACATTTCTTAAGTGAATTTTGCCCCATTTTGCAACCTTGTTTGCCACAGTCGTTAAGTGAATCACTGCAGTTGTTCAGTGAGTAGCACAGTTGTTACGTGATTCCAGCTTCCCCCTTGACTTGGCTTGTCAGAAGGTCGCAAAAGGGGATCACGTGACCCCGGGTCACTGCAAGTGTCATAAATATGGGTCAGTTCCAAGCGTCTGAATTTTGATCACATGACCAAGGGGAATGCTGCAGTGGCTGTAGGTGTAAAAAATAGTCATTTTTTTCCCCAGTCCCGTTGTAACTTGGTCACTAAATGACCTGTTGTAAGTCGAGGACTGCCTGTACTTAAAGTGGAAGTGAGCGCCCGGTGTGCCCTATTGACGTATATTTTGTCTTCCCCTTGTAGATCTTACGGGTCTGACAGCGAAAGTGACCGCAGCTACTCTAATTGCCGAAGTCCCAGCGAAAGCAGCAGATACAGCTGAGCCCACGGTTGACCATAGCAGTTAATGCGTTAACCGAAGGTTTCTATGTCCGTAGCTTGGATCAACGTTTTGTTTCGTTTTTTTTTTTCCTTTTTCTTCTCAGTGTCCAGGCGAAAGTAACTGCTGCCAACAGAAGTGGAGCCTTATTTAAACTCAGCACAACCTTACTTTTTGTACACTCTGCTATGGCAATCATTTTGTGTTGCCCTGAGTTTCGTTTCAAACTAGATGATACGGTTGACGTTCAATCGAATTTTCAGTTAAGCCTCTTAAGTTTTTTCTCCGAAGGAAATTTGCTCGATAACCATGAAACTGTGGAGAATCATCTTATAGGAATCTCACCTGCGGTCTACCTGCTTCAAACATTGGCCTTAAGTGCTGAACTAATGGTTCACTGATACCTTGACACACCAATAACATTGACACTACAGATCCAGGAAGATCTTGGATCTGTAGTGTTCAGGAAGATTCTGGCTAAGAAGCCATTCACCACCAGGGTTATGATTTCTGGGAGTTAGATTCATCGCTTGCCTGGAAAATGTCGCCTCTATTTGGATACCATGAGTTAAAAGCGGGTTAACTTCCTGTTTCTTGACCGGTTTTGCCTAATGCTCGCTTGCAGTCGTTACCCAGGTGTGGATAGCTAACTTTGAAGTCTGAACTCCCAGGGATGCTTAGACCACACTGAGTCTCCTTTCTCTGTCGAGTGAAGAAGCAAGAACGATGTTCTCCTTGTCTCTGTTGCCTCCTCTCCCACAGTCTTCTGATTCCAGGTTTTCATCATGTCTGAATGTGCTAGCGTTCTAATTTTCTACTATCTGTCAGATCTGCCAGTCAGCATCGGCAAAGATAGCAAGCTGTAAATTTATTTCAGAAAACTAACTTTTAGGAGCAACGGAATTCTGTTCTTCGGTTTGAATTCAGCAGACAAAAATGCCATTTTGAAATAGAAATGTCGGGATATACACAAATTTTCGTATAGGATAGTTAACTGTTCTTTAAAAAAAAACCACGGCAGAAATAACACTCTTGTTATTTAATGGTCCAGGCAAACGTCGACGCCTTATCTGTTAGTGCCGGTCCTGAGTTTCTAAAAATTTCTATGATGCGAAGCGCTGCATATTTCATAACGGGGTGGCGCAGAGCATTTTCTTTGGGAACTGCTTCGGGCCCCCAAATTTGTGACTTGAATATGAGGTTGCCACTTTGAATTCAAGAGGGAATTCAAGACCCTCCCCTCGCAGATTTTCAAAGCAGCCCGTTTCTTGTTCAAAAGAATTTGAAGGATTTCCTACACTCCCCGTTTCATCAGTTTAAATAATTTTTTTGTTAGGAAACAAAATGTACTGTTGATTTTTTTTTTCCTCCTTCAATGCAATTAAAAATAGGAATATTTAAGTATCAGTTGTTGGTTTTTAGACACAAATTGCCTGCTCTTCATTTAAAAAGCAATTGTCTTGCGGGTTAAGAACTTTTAACAGGTAGTCCTCGACTTGCAACCATTCGTTTATAGTGTTCATTCGATGTTATGATGGCATTGGAAAAAAAGTGACTTTTGCCATTGTTTTCATACTTAATGGCTGTTGCGGTATCCACGTGATCAAAATTTGGACACTTGGCACCCTGCTCATACAGTGGTTGCAGTGTCCCGAGTCATATGATCTCCTTATTGCAACCTTCTGGTAAGCAAGGTCACTTAACAACCGTGTTACTCACTTAAGAACCATAGCAATTCTCCTAGCATCTGTGGCAAGAAAGATCATAAAGTGGGGCAAAACGCCCTTGACAGCTGTCTCGCTTAGCAATGGAAATGTTGGCCTCAATTTTTTTCAAATTGTTTTTCAAATCCTGTAGCTGGGGGAAAAAGCAACATTTTTTTTTAAAAAAAAAAGCCTAATCAGGGTTTAATTTCAGTGCTTGAATGGCAAGAGTTCAAGAAATCCAAGGCTTTGGATTTCGTTTTTCAAAAGTCTGAAAAACCACATGGAAAAAGGCCAAAAAAAAGGGGGGGGGCGTCCCTGAAGCCCATCTTGATTTAAGAGACTGCACATTTTTTTTAAAAAAAAAATCAAAGTTGTTAACCTCTTACACAGTACAGGAACTCCTCATCCCAGCCCATGGCAGCCACTCTGCAATTAAACCAGCCACTTGATCAACTCCATAGTAATTTGAGGGGGACCCAGGCCTACTGATAAAAACCACCTTTTTAGGGCCTTTCAGAAAAGCCTCGTGGTGGTGGTGGGGAATCAGAATAACAGAACAGAGTTGGAAGGGACCTTGTAGGTCATCTACTCCAATCCTCTGCTCAAGCAGGAGAGCCTACCCATTCCAGACACATGGGCTGTGCAGTCTCTTCTTAAAAGCATCCAATGTTGGAGCATTTACAGCTTCTGGTGGCAGGTTGTTCCACTGGTTAATTGTTCTGTCAGGAAATTTCTCCTGAGTTCTAGGTTGCTTCTCTCCTTGATTAGTTTCCACCCATTATTCCTTGTCCTGCCTCCTGGTGCGTCAGAGAATAGACTGACCCATTCTTCCTTGGGGGGAATGATGGTCCACAGAAAAGAGGCCACCGCCAAGAAGGCCCTTTTGTGTGGGATAGGCAGCCCTGATGTTTGGGGTCCGCAAACATGGCTAGCCTTCCCATCCTGCTGGACTGGATGGATGTAACAAGGGATAGAGGTAGTTCTTCAAATAACCTGGTTTCCCAGCCTCACCCATGGCAGCAAATTCAGCCTTGGGACCTACTGATGGGTATAAGCTAACCTGCCTAGATGTTAAGTTTATCTGAAGGTCTAAAACTCAAAACTGCTGATTTCTGTAAGAACTTCAATTTCAGGTGTGCTCCAAAGATGGCTAGTGTGGTCGTGCTCACAGCAAGTGGTGCAATGCATACCGAGCTTCTCCCACCCCCCCTGTCAACTATAGCACTGAGGTGCAAGCCCACCAGGTGCCTGTTCTTTCCAGGAAAACATGACCCCCCCCTCCCCATAGAGAGACTCCCCATGTATGTAGTCCTCCTGGATCATGAACAGCTCGGTCCTGCTTGGATTTACTTCCTGCCCAGGGAAGCAGGAGACACTGTTTTAGTGTAGTGGTTAAGGTGCTGACCTAGAAATCTAGAGATGGGGAGTTCTAGTTCCACCTTAGAGTGCAGTACTGCAGGCCACTTCAGCTGACTGCTAGTTCAGTTTAGCGGTTCAAATCTCACCAGGCTCAGGGTTGACTCAGCCTTCCATCCTTCCGAGGTGGGTAAAATGAGGACCCGGATTGTGGGGGCAATATGCTGACTCTGTAAACCGCTTAGANCTTTCTTTCTTTCTTTCTTTCTTTCTTTCTTTCTTTCTTTCTTAGAATTTATATGGCTGTCCATTCCCTTTCAGTGACACTAGGCACCTTGCAATTTGTCTTTGCTTGCCTTCTAAATTTATCTTTGCATTTGTAAGCTGAAATAAAATGATTAATTTTTTTTAAAGGAAGGAAGGAAAGGGGCACTAATATTCAAAGGTTTCTCACCTCCAGACATCATTCATCTCGGTGGGAACGAGTTCTCCAGATTCGGTCTCGATGGTGGCAAAACCGCCAATTAAATACAGCGTGTCCCCAAGGCTCACCAGGCTGACCGAACTGCGTTCTTGGGGGAAGTCAACAAAAGATTCCCACCTATCGAATTGCAAAAGAGGAAACAAAAAACCCCTTTTAAAAAAAAAAAAAGAAAAGAAAAAGAAATGGAACTTCCAACTCAAATCATTTTGAAAAGCTTGGTGAGGACTAGTCCCTTGGCCTGCGGGCAACAGCATTTACGCCATTTCATCCTACTGACATTTGGGTCAAAAACTGTTATTGCTTTAGGAAAGACAGAAGACCCTGCCCTGTAAAAATTAACTAGGAATCGTGTGCCACAAGAAAATGAATACAAGAAAATGAACTAATTCTACTTTATTCTAAGGCAAGGCTCTCCAAAGTTGGCAACTTTAAGACTTGCAGACTTCAACTTCCAGAATTCTCCAGCCAGCAGAGCTGGCTGGAGAATTCTGGGAGTTGAAGTCCGCAAGTCTTAAAGTTGCCAAGTTTGAAGACCTCTGTTCTAAGACAACATTAACAGAATCTTGTAATTCTGCAAGGACAAACTTCCCGCTGCTCCTTTTAATTGCTTGATGCGTTCGGGCGCCTCCATCTTGAATTTATTTTCCCAACTGACCATTAGGCGATTTAGGGCTCCTGACTCTCTTATCTAACATTTATTTTCCACGGGGGGTGTTACTTTCTTGGCAGCTAGAAAGTGGGGGACGGTGAGTTCTAGTTCTCTCTTAGCCATGAAAGCCANTTGGATTCCAACTCTCAGAATTCCTGAGCCAGCCATGGCTGGCTCAGGAATTCTGGGAGTTGAAGTCCACAAGTCATAAAAGGACCATCGTTCCCCACTTCTGAACTGGAAGATGTCCGATTTCACATTTTATCAATTTCAACCCACACAGATAATCGTCGACCTAACAACCAGTCGCGTTGAAGGTACAATCAACCCCAAAAAGGGGATTTATCACTCTGATTTGGACTTACGACGGTCAGACTTTCTCTGCCATCCTATCAACAAACTTGTGTTGCTCAGCAACACAGTCGTTTGCAGTGTCCTTTCTGACATTTTTGCCCAAACTCACAACTTTCTGTTTTCAGCAAAACTATGCCCATAGCAGAGTGTCGTTCTGCTTAATGACTGCAGTATTCACTTAGTGACCCGTGTTCACTTAATGACAGTGTTCATTTAATGACTGCTGTGTTCACTTTGCAACTGCAATGTTCACTTAACAGCTGCCTTATTTTACAAAATATACAACTGTAATGTGCAGGTCCCATTATGGTCATAGATCAAGGACTACCTATATTTCCATCCATCATGGATGGTGGAAATTATGTTTTAACAACTTCTGGAAAAATAAAAATCCCCCCCGTTTTCTCTAAAGAAATACCAGCTAAGTCTCAGGAAGTGGCCCGTGGTTATGACAAATTGTGACAATTAAATATTATCCCAATTGTGCTCTCTTGGTGTGATTGTGTCAGATCTCTGATTGGCACTTTAGTTCCAGATTAAGGTTGACCAAAGGTGTCATAAGATCTTCTGGACTAAGGGAGCAATGATGCGTCTACATGGTTGTCCTTCCAGATGTCAGTTTGAAGACATCTGCATCCCTTAAAGGTATCCAGTCACTGTAATTGAATTAAAATATAATTTGTGGAGTCCTTGGTGGTTTCTAAAATTGGTTGCCTTTTGGCAGAAGTTTCATTAGCAAATGTTACCAGTCAGTGCCCAGATGATGTTACCTACTTGGGTAATGAAACGTCTGCAACTAAACAACCAATCTCGCAGAGCACAAATGACCTCACAGTCCTCCTCCTCCTCCCCTTCCTCTCCACAAATGCCAGTCCTTCTAGCACTGATGATGTTCCCTAGTTGGGTCATGAAACGTCTATAAGAAAACAANCAACTCCCAGAATTCTCCAGCCAGCTCTGCTGGCTGGAGAATTCTGGGAGTTGAAGTCCACAAGTCTTAAAGTTGCCAACTTTGGGAACCACTGACTTAACAAATGCCACTTATCAACAAGCCCAAAGTCACCTGTCTGTTCCTTTGCCTCCGATGGAGTAGACCAGGTCGTTATTGGACACCACCCCGTGACCGTAGACAGCATACGGGAGGGGGTCTGCGTCCCCCCATTTAAAAGACCTGAAAGAGAAAGGAGAGGTTGGATTTGGGGACCTTTGGGGTGACCCAGCAAACGTACAGTTTCTGCAGTTTCTCTGTGCATTACGTTCCCCCCCCCCCCCATGTATTTTATAAATAAACTAGCTGGATATCCGTGCTTCCCAACGAAACTGTGTGATCGGGCAATGCAGGAGAAATCCAGTTCACAATCCGTTGGCTTAGTGGTGGTCGGTGATTGAGACGCATAAGGGAATGTCGCTCCCACCTCCTTGAGCTCCGATTCATTCTCCCTGGGGAAACCCGTCATTTATGCCTCCTCTAATAAAGAGACGGTTCTGACCGAGGCTTCCCGAGAGCATGAAACAAACTCCTGGTCCCGACAAAAAACCCTCTTATTAATTGACTGCGAATTCTGCTCATTCACATCCAGCAAAGTCTTTCAAGGGAGGATTTACAGTCACCGACCTTATCTGGCTTGGAGAGCTGCCAGGCCGATCTCTGCAAAACCTGGCAAGGAGTCTTGGAGAGTCACGAACCAATGAAACGCATTAATGATCTCCTGCAAACTCCACTCCCCTTTCTCTCCTCTTTTATTCCCTCTGGGAGGGGCCATTCATCGTCCACCTATAGCCTTACTCCCAAGTCGATCCCTGTTGTTTAGCTGTTCCCTTCATCTGGCAACTCTGTGTATGTGCACACTGGGAACAGGCTCCAGCTGTTCCTTTGCCTCACTGATAACTGTCAGAGGGCCCTGGCCCCCTCTCTGCCTCCAACACAGAGCCCTCATCAGAGCCTTCCCCAGACTCCAGGACTGGCCCAGGTTCCTCCCCAACCCTCCTCACTGTCCGAATCTGCTGCCAGCTCTGCTGGTGGGCCACAAGAGCGAGTCCCCCCCCAGCACTCCAAAGATTTACTCACAGCCTGTCATAACACAGAACGGAGTCCAGGGTCTGTTCGCCTTCCTTTAATTCTTTCCCTCCGACCACAAAGATGGAATTTTCAGCTTCTCCGAGTCCGAACAGACAGCGGGGAGAGGGTACCGGGGGCATCCCCAGCCATTCCGAATCGAGGTGGTCATACTGCCGAGCAAAGAGAAGACAGCCATGGGATATCTCCATCCTATGAACACAGCCTCATCCTCCTTTGAAAGCACCCCGATTATTAGATCATTTTCCATGACTACGTGGCCCTCGACTTACAACCGCAATTGATCCCAAAAGTTCTGTAGCCCAAAATCTCCATTGTGCAAGAAAGCAAGAAAGTTGCTAAGTGAGTTTTGTCCCGTTTTACGACCATTCTTGCCACTGCCAATCACTGCAGCTGTTAAGTGATGGACACCATTGTTAAGCGAATCTGGCTTCCCCGCTGACTTTACTTGTCCGAAAGGTCGCCAAAGGATATCACAGGACCCCGGGACTCTGCGACCGTCATAAATGTGAGCCAGTTGCTCTAAGTGTCTGAATTTTGGTCACATGGCCATTGTGATGGTTGTGTGAAAAATGGTTGTAAGCCTGTTTTTTTCAGTGCTGCGGTAACTGAACAGTCACTAAAAGGAATGATTGTAAGTCAAGGACTATCTGTGATCAATGATGGCTTAACACTAGTTTGTTGGGGGAGCCTTGATTGGAGACCAGGGAGTAGATTAAGAAGGGGAGAGTATGCTGTGGGCTTCTTCACAAAATGTCGGTCATGGGGGTGGTGGAAGGGTCTTGTTTCCTGCCCCAATGGCTGTCGTGAGGGAGACAGTCAAAAAATTCAAGATGGCGGCCACAAGCAATGCTGTCATGCATTTCATACAGTAAAAACAATCGGGCTTTGATCATACATTCATGGAAGCCGTTTTGAGTTTTCTGCCTCCTTGCTGCAGCCCTGGTGGGCATGGTCATCTCAGGATGTGTAAATTGAACATTGATATTTTTGCTTCGCGCCTTCCTTGGTTGCTAACTAAATCTGGCCTGGTCGAAACACAGGGTGGTTGCAAGGTTGTGACGGAAGGTTTGATGCCCCTCCACCCCCATGTGTGGCTGCCATCTTGACTTTTTTGACCCTGGTGCCAATAACCCTGATGCTTGCCTTCCAAAGATGGATGCACTTCTTAATAAAGGGTTGAACGGCTTGGGAAATTTTTGAATGAAAGTGTGGTTTTCAACCTTTTCAACTTTAAGACCTGTGTAAATGTAAATGCTGGCTGAGGAATTCTGGGAGTTGAAGTTCACACATTTCAACGTTTCCAAAGCTGAAATATGCTGCTTCAGCCTGTTCTTAGATTTGGTCTAAAACGCAGGAATTACCCACAGCATCCCAGTTATATCTTGGGTGGAATTCAGTTGCCTTGAAATGCAAAATACTTGGATAGCTGAGCCTTTTTCTCAAATGTATGTATGTATGTATGTATGTATGTATGTATGTATGTATGTATGCATGCATGCATGCATGCATATGCATATGCATATGCATATATATAAAATAATAAAAAGGTAAGTAGAATGATATCCTAAACAAGGTAGAAGATAGAAGGATGGATGGATGGATGGAGAGATGATAGAGATGATAGATAGAAAGGTAATAGATAGATGACATAATAATGATGATGGATGTTAAATGATTGATAAGTGATATATAGGTATAGATAGGATAGAAGATAGATACATGGATGGATGGATGGATGGATGGATAGATGATAGAGATGAAAGAAAGATAGAAAGATAGCTAATAGATAAATAATAGATAAAGATGATGGATGTTAAATAATAAGTGATATATATAGAATGATAGATAGATAGATAGATAGATAGATAGATAGATAGATAGATGATAGATAGANGGGGCAATATGCTGACTCTGTAAACCGCTTAGAGAGGCCTGAAAGCCCTATGAAGCAGTATATAAGTCTAACTGCTATTGCTACTATTGCTATTGCTTAGGCACAAAAGCAGGCTGGATGACTTTGGCCCAATCACAGGAGACGATGAGTTCTAATCCCGCTTTAGGCACGAAAGCCATATGGGTGACTTTGGGCCAATCACCAGGAGATGGTGAGCTCTACTACATTAGGCATGAAAGCCGACTGGTTGACGGCCAATCACTGGCAGGCTGTGAGTTCTAGTCCCACCTTAGGTAAGTATGGAGAAATAGGAAGGAAGTGACTCATTGCTTATAAAGCAACTAAGGCAAAATTATAAACAATAAAAACAAAACATTAAAAAAAAGAAGACCCTCCCAGTTCTGCTTCTTCGACGACAAAGAAATCAAATCTCTGCAACGCTGGCAAAGCGTTGCAAAACCTGGCGCGCAGACGCACTAAAGCCAAGCGAAGCCAAACGTTTCCGTCACCCGCCTGGAACGCTCTGCAGACGCTGCCAGCCTCCCCCCCCTCTTCTTGCTGGGGAGGTGGGAGAACAGAAAGGGGCGGGGAGAGAGGAGGGGGAGGCGGAGCATCGGCCGAGGAAACCTTTGCAAAGCGCTCAGCGTCGGCCGCTGCAGAGGAGAAGGAGGAGGAAGCAGGAGAGAAGGGGGGAGGGGGGCTGTCAGCCAGAGAAGCAATATATACACACACCTCTTTAGACGGAACAAGCGAGAAGATCCCCCCTCCCCACGAATCCACCTTCCTCGCTCCACCCCTGGATCTTTTGATGGAGAGCGCAACCCCACCGCGAGCAAAGGAGCAGCGGGGCTCCCTGGATCGGGCAGCCCGGCAGCAAAATGGTAGAGCGCCGCCTCCCCCCAAAAAACTAGTTTCCTCTTTTTATTATTATTATTATTCCCAGGACGGGGGCGCTGGCAGGCTAAGAGATATGGGGAGGGGGGGTGGGAGAGTGGAGGAAGGGAGGGTCGGAAGTTGCTTTGCAATGCAATGCCATTTATAATGCAATGCAGTTTACAGTGAAATTTGCAAAGGCAATGCCGTGCCTTCTTCGCCCGCTCTCCTTCTGCCTTTTTCCTTCCTCCTTTCCTATTCTCCCTTCCTCCTTCCACCCTTCTATTTCCTTCTCTCGTCTTTCCTTCCTTTCTTTTNCTGCTTGGAGTTGGAACCCTGTCCAGGGTCCTCCAGAGCCGACTCATAGGGCCCCTCGCTGTCGGAAGTCTGGTGGCAGCTCCAACGGCTCCTGCTGGGCCACAACGTGTGTGTGTGTGTGTGTGTGCACATACACACACAAACGCACATTGTCGTGTGTCCGAAGCCCAGTCGTGTGACCTTAAGAGGGGTCTCAACTGTTGGAACTTAGAAACTGGTTCCTAATCTCCTTTTGGGGGGGGGGGGTTTCTGTCATAACTCTAGATGGTCACTAAGTGATCGGTTGTAACCCAAGGACTACCTGTACTTTCAAGGGCTTTCAGAAGCAAGCAGCATCAGGAGAAAGGTTTAGGACTAAATCTGAATCAATATGCTTATAGTGAGATAATTAAACTTTTCTTCCGCAGAAATCCTTCTCCCTAAATGTGCTAGATTTACACACAATCCTTTTCCGCGCACCAAAATACCCCTTCAGTGGCGGGGGGGGGGGAAGGAGGGGGACAGTTGCTAATCTAAGCATATTTCAGGCCGTTTCTCGTTCCCGTGGCCCATGGATCCCAATGCCCTTCTCTCCGAATGAATGAAATTAAGCGTGAAGTTCATGCCAAGCTGCTAGTCCTCTCGGGGACTCTTGTGCTAGCCGAGTTTTAAAGGGGATCTGATCCGTGTCACCAACTCGATGTGACTTGAGTTATCTCTTTGCGGCATCTGCCCTCTCCACGGGGAGGCGTTTTTTTTTTGCACTAGTGATAAGATTTCGTGAAAGTTGTACTCAAAAGGTTCCCATCCTGAAAATGGCTTCCGTATCTGCCCTCCCACCCGGATTTCTGATTGGGAATGGGATTAAGGGGCCCCAAGTCATTGGAAAGCTAATTGCAAGTATCCCAAAGCTTACACTAAACCAACTTTTAAATCTAGAATAAAACGATGTTTTTTGCAGAGACGGTGAGTTCATTGGGAAAAGGCAGATAGCGCTCATCAAACAACCGTAATGGGACCTTCCCATTGCAGTCTTTATTTCGTGATGGCTTTAAATCAGCCCAGCCTTGCAGAGATTTATTTGCAGTGGTTGTTAAGTGAGCACAGCTAATAAATGCAGCCATGTTGCTACACAATTCAGAGCATGATCGCCCGGCCAGAAAGGGCGAACAGTCACAACTTTGGAACTGGGTCGTAACTCCCTTTTTCCCCCCCCCCCTGTAAGTTGTAACTTCAAACAGTCATTAAGTGACCAGTCGTAAGTCTGAACTGCAGTGTTTCTCAACCATGGCAACATTATGGACATGTGGACTTCAACCCCCAGAATTCCTCAGTCAGCCACGCTGGCTAAAGAATTCTGGGAGTTGAAGTCTACACCTCTTAAAAATTATTGTGTGAAACCCAACTCCAGATATGTTCACATTGCAGTAAGCATTTTTTTAAAAAAAAGGAATTCAGGAATTCTTTCAGCATGCCTGGTGGGTATCAGGTTGGGAAAAATCCCTTTGGCCAGAATTAAACCTGAGATTGCTTTCAAATTAAAAAATAAAAAAGTTTTCATATTTTAAAAAGGGTGAGTTTTTTTCCCCTTGCTTCTATTAACTCATTCGTGCCGTGTTTTACAGTCAGCCGGAAATGTCTTCTGTTCCCACGAAGGTTTATCATTAAAAAGGTGAAGGATTTTTGTTTAAAAAAAATAATAAGTACTTTCTCCTCCTAGCAATACAAAGATTCCTCCACTTACAAGTGCAGAGAACAGCAACGAAGATGATTAGGGGACTGGAGACTAAAACATATGAAGAACGGCTGCAGGAACTGGGTGTGTCTAGTTTAATGAAAAGAAGGACCAGGGGAGACAGGATAGCAGCCTTCCAATATTTCAGGGGTTTCCCCAAAGAAGGGGGAGTCAAGCTATTCTCCAAGGCACCTGAGGGCAGAACAAGAAGCAATGGGTGGAAACTAATCAAGGAGAGAAGCAACTTAGAACTGAGGAGAAACTTCCTAACAGAACAATTAACCAGTGGAACTCTTTGCCACCAGAAGTTGTAGGTGCTCCAACACTGGAGGTTTTCAAGAAGAGACTGGACAGTCACTTGTCTGAAGTGGTAGAAGGTCTGCTTGAGGAGGGGGTTGGACTACAAGACCTTCATGGTCCCTTCCAGCTCTTATTCTAATTGATTGAATCTGGCTTCCCCATTGACTTAAGTTCAGGCAGTCCCCAACTTAGAACATATTGTTTTAATGACCGCCAGCAGCCCTGAAAACCGTCACACGACCGTTGCAGCATCCCCGTGTTCAAAATTCAGACGTTTGGCAGCTGATTTATATTTATGACGGTCGCAGTGTCCCCGCAAGTCACGAAGTCCCCTTTCGCGACCTTCCGACAAGCAAAATCCATGGGGAAGCCTGACTCGTTTAACAACTGTGTTACTGAGGTAACAACTGCAGTGATTCACTGAACAACAATGGCAGGAAAAGTCATACGAGTGGGACAAAATTCACCTAACCACTGTCTCGCTTAGCAGCAGAAATATTGAGGTCAGTTGGGGTCGTAAGCCGAGGACTACCATTAGTGCAAAATCAGAGAGGCCCGGCCCATAGAATCGCCATGAATCGGACACGACTGAGCAGATAAACCCCATCATCATCATCATCATTATAGTCAGACTAGCCGATAATCCGGCATTGGCGAGGTATTTATTTATAGGGGGAAAATGTCCGGACCAAATTTCTAATGTTGGATTTTTCCCCCTTACAAGAGGGAGCCCCCTGGTGGAGTACTGTGAAGCTGTTACCATGGCAATTCCACTGCGCTTGTACAGTAGAAGCCATTTTACGGCAGTATGGTAGAAGCCATTTTATGGCACAACAGGCTGTATCTTAACAGAACACACACGCTGAGGGGTTTTAGGGGTGTCTTAATCCCACAGTATTTGTTTCAAGAGAGTAAGTCATCTGTGTACCAAGTTTGGTTGAAATTCCTGAAGGCGTTCCAGAGTTATGCTGGAACACACACACACACACACACACACACACACAAACAGCCATTTTTATATAGACAGATTCGAGTTGAATATGTTAAAATCTGGATGCACAGATTGTCACATCACAGCCCAAAACACAACGTGGACACAAACCCTCCTGCCCACCTCCTGGTTTCCCGAGAGAGGCAACAGACAAGGTTTTGCAAAACAAGCATCTTGTTATTTCGACCTAACGAAACCAAATCGAGGTGCCGTGATGGAGACTTTTCAAAGTAGATACGGAAAAAGGCAAGGAGGAGCGTGTGCGAAAGGCGGCCCAGATCGGAGAGGGATTCCGTCGCACGGTCATATCTTCGTCAGCCGCAGGACATTGAGGCGCACGGGGATAAATGTGGCCCCCGAGGCGTATTGCATCTCCCGGAGGACCCCTTCCCACTTCTTCCCTTCTTCGTCGTACCTGGAAAAGACACACACAAATCTTTATGAATGAATCTCGGTTGGCTCAATGTGGATATAAGAACCCTCCATCCATCTTCCTTCCTTCCCTTCCTTCTCTTCCTTCATTCCTTTTTCTTTGTTTCTTTTTTCTTTCCTCCTCCTTTTATTTCCTTCCTTTCTTCCCCCCTTTCACCCTCCATCCATCTTTTTTCCTTCATTCATAGCTTTTTCTTTCTTTTTCTTTCCTTCTTTTCTTTCCTTCTTCCTTTTTTCCTCCCTCTCTCACCTTCCATTCATCTTCCTTTCCTTTTCTTCATTTCCTTCCTTCTTTCCTTCCTTTTTCTTTGTTTCTTTTTTCTTTCCTCCTTCCTTCTTTCCTTTCCTTCTTCCTTTCTTCCTCCCTCCCTCTCCCCCTCCATCCATCTTTTTTCCTTCCTTAATTCCTTTTTCATTCCTTCCTTTCTTTCCTCTTCCTTTTTTCCTCCCTCTCTCTCACCTTCCATTCCACTTCCTTTCCTTTTCTTCATTTCCTTCCTTCTTTCCTTCCTTTTTCTTTGTTTTTTTCTTTCCTTCCTTCTTTCCTTCTTCCTTTCTTCCTCACTCCCTCTCCCCCTCCATCCATCTTTTTTCCTTCCTTAATTCCTTTTTCATTCCTTCTTTCCTTCTTCCTTTTTTCCTCCCTCTCTCTCACCCTCCATTCATCTTCCTTCCTTTCCTTTTCTTCATTTCCTTCCTTCTTTCCTTCCTTTTTCTTTGTTTTGTTTTTCTTTCCTTCCTTCTTTTCTTTCCTTCTTCCTTTCTTCATCCATACATCTTTCTTTCTTTCTTTCTTTCTTTCTTTCTTTCTTTCTTTCTTTCTTTCTTTCTTTCTTTCTTTCTT